CTGCGCCCGCACCTCGCTCAGCCAGTGAGCGGGAACCGGTCTGTAGGTGGGATCCGAACCCTCGGCGGGAGCGCCGCCGCGCTCCCAAGCGGCGCACTGTAGCAGTGCGCCACCGGGCCGGCCCCCAAAAATGTTTTGATGAAAGCATTTAGCAGGAAATATTGGGAATGAGGTGGGAATGCAGGTGGGAGTAGAAGTAGAAAGAGACTTTATAAACTTTTTCCTTTGACTCCTTTATTCTCAGGAGATCTGGGATAAAGTTTATGGACTCCTTAGGTATGTTGACTTCTTGCCTTCAGTTTTGAGAACTTACTACTTCATCTAAAGGAGGCTTCCCAGGCTGGCTGGTTAGCTTATTTGGTTAGAGCATGGTGCTGATAACACCAAGGGCCAGGGTTTGATCCTACTGGCCAGCTACCTGAAATAAGATAAAGGAGGCATCCCTGACTGGTCAGAAGGGAGAACTATGGAAAGATAAGCAGTTTTCCTCCCTTGTCTCTACAGGAAAAATCAAGTCTTACCAATGAAGAATTTGAAGAGATTGTCCAGATTGTCCTACGGAAGTCACTCCAGGAGTGTGTGGGTATGGCTTGTAGTGAGAGAAAAAGAGTTTCAGTTAGGCAAAGTGACTGTTATCTGAGGAGTAGAGTAAGTTTGACAGCTTTTCTCCTTCTCTCCTATATTCCTAGATAAGGAAATATTAGATGAGACTTCAAAATATTTTTAAATTTAGAAAAGTGGACTGCATTAACTTCAGAATTTAAATAGTCTCACCCAGATTTTAAAAATGCAATATAAATTTATTTCTATATGTTTACAATTCACTTAGAAAAGATATTTGTTTCTAATACTGTTTTTGCATATGCTCAGGAATTTGATTTTTTAGAATAAATATCTCTATAGTGTAAGTCCTGAGCCCTTCTCTATAAGGTCATGAGGCTAAGGAGGTTGGTCTGACATTTCAGCCATTCTTAGTGTACTTCTACTCCTGGAGGGAGTTTGAGAAGCAAATGATATCAAATACAGTACATATAATATTTTTATTTGTACAAAATGAAACTATGATTACCTGGCTATCCTGGAATGAGGCAGATCAATTTGGAAAGGCTTGCAGAAAGATATAGATTTGTAGTTTTTTCTGAAAATTTAAAGATTTAAAGTTCTATGATATGACAAGAGGCCAAAGATAGGCTCTTCCAGGCAAAAGGGAGAAGACATTTTAATGAAAGGTTATAGTTAGAAAATAATGGAGTGATTGTTTTCTTTTATTGCTTCTTTGCTTATACTATTTTTTTGTGGGGGAGGGATGGGATCTGGCCATGATTTTACAGAGACTTCCTGTGCCTGGCCTGTAGCATGTACCCAATCAGACAAGGAACCAGGAATTGCTCCTTTTGCTACTGATAATGATACTGATGGGTAAGTTTATTCCAGTGACACAAGTTGAACAGAGGGTGGACTTAACATTGATAAATGGTTATCTATCTATCTATATGGTCATTTATCATATTTCCATAGATTTCTCTGAGCTCAGGAAAGATACCTGTTTGAGTGGGAAAAATAGACAAGTAAACTTCAGGAAGCCTTTAGAGAGCCTAGGATTCTTCTTTCTTCCTTTTACCCTTGGGTTATTTCAAAAGAAGGATACTGCAAATTGCTCCTTTTTATGTTTTCATTTAAAACAAAATCTCGTTTTCAGAGAGAGGATAGTGGTACCTCACACTCAAGGGATTTCAGCCTCTCGGGAAGATGAAATTGTCCCAGAGATAAAGACATGTAAGCTAAGCCAACCAGATCCTGCACCCTCCGAGAAGAAATTCAATAGACTCTCCTTAAGCAAAAGAAAGAAGGAAGCTCGTAAGTATAGTCAGATATACTTTGATGCCTGGCTCAAGTACTTACTCCAGGAAATTAGTGAATGGGACAGTGGGCAGCCTAAGGCTTGAAACTATTCTTCCTTCGTTCCCTGGCCTTTACTATCTACAAAGATTCTCTTCATCTCCTCACCTACTAATGTTTTGTTTTATCTTTCCAGGAGATGAGAAAGTGGAGAAAGTCCAAGGTGGACATGAGCACAGACAGAAAGACCAACCAAAGAAAATGGTTCAGGACCATTCTCAGTTCAGGGGCCAGCAAAAAGAAGGGAGAAATGGTTTTGGTGAGTTCAGCCATGGTTTAGAAAGCCTACTTGGTCTGAAAATTCGAGATGGAAGGAGAGGCAAGGGTTAGGATGTTAGAAAAAACTCTGTAAAGACTATCATTTATCTCTCACAGCTGCTTGTTAGAGGATATGCTGCTGAGGAAGATAGAGAAAGATTTTATTCATTCAGTTATTTATTTACATAATCTATAGTTGTTGGGTGCCTACTGTGTATCAGGCATTTTAGATGGTGCTCAGGAAGAAAACTAGGATGTGGTCAGAAAGGTAGAAGAAAAGTTAGGATATCTATGATATCTGTGATATCACAGATGCCAGAAGAAAAAAGAATTTCAAGGACGAGGGATGCTCAGCCATGTTAAATGCTACCATAGAGAAGTCAAAGAGGATAAAGGTTTAAAAATGCTCAAAGATATAATTGGGAAGTCATTAAGGCCTTGGGTATAGCTACCATATAGGTTGGTAAGGGTAAATGGCAGGTTGTAGTTGGGTGAAGAGTAAACACTTTCTCAATTAGTTTAGATGTGAAAAGAGGGAGAAAATGGTAGATGAAGGGGAATGGGTATAGAGTTGGGGGAGGATTTTTTCTTTTATAACTTTTAGAAGAGAGATACTTGAGCATACTTATAACCTAAGGAAAAATTATTTATAGAGAGGGAAAGATTGATTGGTAGGAATGGGAATAAATTTGTAAGATTTATCTTCGTTAGAAAGAAGGATTCCTTAGCCTTTGAGATTAGATGAAGGGAGGGTAAGGATGGGTATAGATTCATTTGTTCTTTTAACAGCTGTTATTAGTGCCTTATATTATGTGTCATGCATTGCATTAAGTGCTAGAAATACAGTGATGAACAAAATTGATAACCCTACGTCATGAGAGGAAAAAAATGGAGATCTAATTAAGATTAGGCCAGTCAGGGAATGCATTTCTAAGGAAATTATATTTAAGCTGATACATGAAGGAAGAGAAGTTATCCAAGTGAAGAGTAGGAGAAAGAGTTTAGGTAAGGTAAATTTTGGCATATTCCAGGTACTAAAAGAAAGCCAGTGTGATTTGAGTTGGGTGGAAAGTGGCTCTGGATAAACAGAGGTAGGCAGTGGCTAGATTAAAGACCATGCCACAGAGTGAGAATTTTATCCTAAGAGCAGTAGAAAGCCATTGGTGGATTTTAACCAGTGGAATGACATCCTAAATTAATGTTTCAAAAGAATCTTTTAGTGATTAATTGGAGAATGGAGTATGGGGAGAAGCTAAGAGTAGACCAGTTAAGAAGTTAGTGCTAGGATTAGGTATTTTATTTTATTTTTTGTCTTTTTCCGTGTCCGGCAATGGATTGCAACCCTCAGTGTTGCCCCCGTACCGGACCGGGGACCGGCAACAGGATTGCAACCCTTGGTGTTGCTCCCGCGCCTCGCTCAGCCAGTGAGCCAACCGGCCATCCCTATATAGGATCCAAACCCGTGGCCTTGGTGTTATCAGCACCGCACTCTCCTCAGTGAGCCATGGG